TACTATTGTGGGTTATTTCAATAAACATGAAAGATCTGAAAAATGAAAGAGTACTGTGAAACTTCTAGCCGAAGTATTTTGGGAGAGGTTTACCATCTCCCAGTATATCATGTAAGTCAACTTACGAGTCTAACCTTAAACCTGTACTCACAGTTCTCATAATCTCCAACTGCTGTTAATCCTCCCACCCTCAGTTTTTGTTTACTGAGCTTGACTCCTTTAATCAAACACATGAAGTACTGGCAGATATAAATGCTTTTTTCCTTGACTAACTGAACATGCGTGTTTATCATGATGAAGAATACATTAATGCTACTGTTAACTTTCCTGCTTTTATGACCATACATTTTGTCCTGGGATATAGCATGAAGGACAAAAAACATGAGAATTCCTGAAATAACCTAATCAAGAACCAGATTACAAAAAAAAAGGGCAGAAGTGAGTGGAGCAAAAATAAATAGAAATATTAGCTATATGTGTGTATGTATCTCAAACTATTTTTTTTCTTCAAATATGCAAGTTTCATGTGGGGTAAGCAGGTAACATCCTATCAATAAGCTGCTAAAACTCAAGTTACTATACATATCTTGTAGCAGAAGGGAAATCTGAGAAATATGACTATAAAAAAAAGTTACAATATTGAATTCATTTCCTTATGCTATAACTTTAAAGCTCATTTTTTAGAAAGTAAAGATTGAGGTAAGATTAGCTAAACTGGTCAATACATAGGGAAGTTGATAACGAAACCTTCCAACTTCTTACTACCTAAAACCACTACGTACAACATGGGTCCTACTCTGAATGTTAAGAAAATCAGGGGGCATTTGAACTGATTTGAATCAAATGAGGAAAAAAGTCATATGGCTATCTGAGAGAACAGTATGTGAGGCACAGCAAACAGCAAGTGGAAAATCTTTCACAGGAGAATGCATGAGATGACTAGAAAACAGCCAAGAGACCAGTAAGGGAATAATAGAAAACAAGATCAGAAAGGTTGCCAGCTGTGATGGCTCACACCTATAATCCCAGCACTCTAGCCGGCTGAGGTAGATAAGACTGCTTGAGCTTAGGAGTTCGAGATCAGCCTGAGCAAGAGTGAGACTCTGCCTCTAAAAAACAGCTAGGTATTGTGGTGGGCGCCTGTAGTCCCAACTACGGAGGCTGAGGCAAGAGGATCACGTGAGCCCAGGGGTTTGAAGTTGCTAAGAGCTATGACACCATGGCATTCTACTGAGGGTGACAAAGTGAGACTCTGCCTCAAACAAACAAACAAACGAAAGATCAGAAAGGCAGCCAAGGTCCTACATAGGACCTTGCAGGCCATTTTGAGGAGTTTGGATTTTATTGAGGGAGCTGTGGGATCATTAGAAGATATGGAGTAAAGGAATGATATAATCTGACTTACAATTTAAAAGGATCACTCTGCTACATGTGGAAAACAGACTGTAGCAGGACAAGGATGAAAGTAAAGAGACAGGTAATAGGCTATTGCAATAATACAGGTGAGAGATGATGCTGGCTTGCACCAGAGTAGCAGAGGTAGAAATGGTA